TAAATCCGGAAGCAAGCGCCTACATCCATTGGGTGGGTCATTGACAGACAATTTTGACTAGGTCCCCCAGTAGTGCCCTTTTACCCTGTTTTGGGGCAGGGCCCTACTAAAATAGAAAGGGCACCCGTATTCCAACCTCTCTACTGGAGGGCCTAGTTGAATGTTTGTTGACTTCCTCTTGTTTCTAGCGGAGGGAGGAACAGCATGGAAAAGCACCGCATGTGCGAATCGCCTTGAGCCACGAGTTTCCAGATAGAGTTTGGTGACAGTCGATGGCGCAACTCTTCCATTTGCTGAAATGAATATTTGATTTTCCCTTCTCGGTTTTGGCCCCCGAGTGTCTTTTTTCCTAAGTTTGGCGGGCTGGGTCTTGCAAGGGTTCCCGGTTGGTCGGTCGGTCGGTCGAGTCGTCGGTGGGTGGGTGCTTTTTGGCTGTCGCGGCTGTTTTCTTGCTCTTGTGGCTTGTGGCGGTTCTTGTAGCTTTGCTTTGGCTTTCCACATAGCTAGCATCACTGCCAGGGTTTGTTGTTTGCAACCCAAACCGGCACCAAGCAATCCCTAAACCGCCAAAACTCATCCCAAGCCCTATACCAACCCTTGACCCACGCGTTTTCCAATCCTAACCCTCAGAACTTAAGCATGTAAACCTACAATAACCCCCCCCCCCCCCCAAATCCATCCCACCCAAAACAGTACACACTAAACCAGCAGTAAATTATCCCTAAACCGCCCTAAACCAACTCGAATCTCCTACAAAGCCCCATAAACCAGGAGTAATCAATCCCCAAAGCACCAAACATCAACACTAACAAAGCCTAAGTAAGCCCTGTACCAACCCGAAACCGCCCGACCCTGAACCCACCATAAACCCACCTAAACCTGACGCTAAGCGCACCAGAACTGTACCAACCCCAAACCTGGCCAACCTAAACCTAAAAAAACACCACCCTAGACAAACCCAAGCCCCGCCCAAACCCACCCTAAACAATGGCGCCTTCGAAAAGGTGAACCTTTTGTGGGTCGGGACCGGCCCGCCGCACCTAGGAACAAAATAAACCCTTCCGCCGTTGGTTTTCAAGTTGGAATCGATTTTACCACAGAAAAAGAAGAAGAAACAAAACATCTGATTTTTTGCCCGGGGACGAAAACGTAGATGTTCTTCTGATCATCGGACAGAGACGCTCACCTTCGGCAGCCTGAACTAAAGCTCAGCGTGCCTCCTTTAGCTCGCAACTGCTGCAAATGAACATGGCCTATAACTATAACTTCCCCAGAAGGTTCTTTTTCTTCACCCCCAGACAAAGTTCATCCAATAATATTGGTTTGTTGGGTAACTAAAAGTTGTTTCATCCCGAAAGAAAAATCATCCAACCATACCGATTTGGCTGTGGGTCAAAACCAAAGGGATCCCATTTTGGGGTAGGTGAATTCACCACCATTTTGGAACCTATTTTAGTGGTTGGATTGGGCTGGGGGTACGGGATTTTAGGATTTTGATCCAAAGGTCCCCAATGAAACTTCATATAAGAAAGGAGATGCTGAAAGTAGTTCCGGGTACAGCAACCACTTCTTGCAAGGGGAATGTGAGAGTGTGTTCTCTAATGGGTTTTCCATCAAACCACCAAACATTAAAAACTTTCGCAGGGGAGCAGGAAGCAACCGAGTTACTGGTTCATTTGGTGGGGTTCATGCTCGTTTGGGTTCAAAAAATCCGTGCACACACCTCGTTTGAGCGGAGGCGCACCGGCTGGAAGCAGCGCGGTGCTTGCTCCGCTTCTTCAACTGTGATTTGGACTTCAGGCGGGCGGCTCCCAAAAAAAATCAGCCGGGGCGGTCTGGCTTCTTTATAGCCTAGGTCCCTCAGCTAGGTGCCCTTTTACCGTTTCTTTTTTGGGGGAGGGTTCCCCTAAAATAGACCACAGGAAAAAGGGTACCGTTATTCTAACCTCTCTACTGGATGACCTGATAGCTATCTTCATTCTAGGGGAGCTTCAATTCCATTCTTTCCAACGATCCGAATCTTTTCAGGAAACCATCAAGACCCAGGGGAAACAGCCGGTTTTCTTTATACCTAGAGTCTCCATGACCCTCAAAAAATGGGTCCATGAACCCTGAATCTTGGGTAAAGACACCATTTTGTAAGGGTCATGAAGACTCCAGGTAGCGATTTGGTTGGATCTTTGGACACTAGGTGGTTGAAACACTGGATCTTCCATTGGACCCACATTTTTTTTGCTGAGAGGTCAAGAGCAAGCCAGGCTTCAAACCAGCGGCAGCCTGTTGTACAGGGCATTCATGGAGCCTGTTGCACGAATGGCATACTGAGATAGTTTTCAGATGATGTCAATTGATACAACTAGCGACTATATCATAGCGGCTCTTGTGCACTCGATTCTGCGCAGCTTTAAGTGCTGCCTGATCTATGCCGCCGTTTTGCTTTTTGAGGCCGCACAGTTTGTCGGGAAATGCCAAGGTTGGCATGGCACGGGGATTTTTCTCGGATTCCGTGAGACACACATCTCCAGGGCAGAGAAGTGTCAGAAACACGCCTTTTGGCTGCAACCGTTTGTAGTCGCACAATGAGGCGAGCTGGAAAGCCCCTCGATCTTGCCCTCACTTGTTCGACCGCATGTGTTCGCCCGACGTTTTGTTGTTCTCTCAGTCGGGCATGTGACTTCCAGCAACGAGGAGTCTTGGTGATCAGTGTGATTTAGGTCATTTTGAGACATGGCTGTGGGTCAAAAATAGGTATCCAAAATGGAACCCTGGCCAATGGAAAAGTCGACTAAAACCTGCGGTCCGATTCCTGGCGGTTTAATTCTGACCCATACCACGTGGGATTTGTGGTAAACGCCGAGCTTTCGCAGGCCAGAGGAGGTGACAAGCCACTTGGCGAGTGAGGTCGCAACTCTTTGACGATCCGTGAAGCGAGTTTTGGGGCCACCTTTCGGAATGCCGCGGAATCCAAGTAGGACATGCTTCGATCCCGGTGACTCAACTTCTTTCTCTCCTTCTCCTAGCTAGGTGCCCTTTGACGCTTTTTTGGTTGGGAGGGCTCCCCTACTAAAATAGACTACGGAAAAAAAGGGTACCCTTATTCGAACCCCTCTACTGGAGGACCTACTCTCCAACATGCCTTGGTCCGCCAAAAAAGAAAAACGAGACTCTGTAGCATTGGCGGGCACTACACACCACCAAGCAGGGTAAAATGAAGGCTCTTTGTCCAGCGACCTTGATTTGACCTACATGTTAACTCTTTTGGGGCCAATATCACAACAGGTTAGAGCAGTTGATATCCTTCCTGCCCAAACAACTTGTTTTGACCTATTTGACCTACCTCGGGGGCCAATAGAACAGGTTAGAACACTGAACACACGCTTTCTGCCCAAAAATGATCGGGCGAACACGCGGTTGCTTTCATCTTTGTTTGGCCTGCAACCCAGCTGGCTTGGGTCGGACTGGTCAGTATCGTCAAGATTGCCCACTAGGGTGCATGTAGGTATGTCTGTTTGTCATTGTTCATGCAGGGTCAAACAACTGAAACTATTAACAAACATATGGTAGATAGGATGGCTGCTGCTCGATCTTAGTTGCCCTGCCTATGGTTTGTTGTCGATGTATGTCAACATGCTATGGACTGCGTATGCAATTACTGTGGATGGACGAAATCCTGCACCACTTTGAAACCACGGGGAACCATTGGTTGCTTGGTATTTACAAGGGAATCATCAATCCAGGGTGTCCTAGGTGGTGCAGGATTTCGTCCATCCACAGTATGTACAAACTTCCACCGGACATGAATGCTGTTACTTTGAACGCTTGCAGGATTTGGGTTCCAGAGAGGCTCCAAAGGCTCTAAATATCATTGGAGGCGCACACGCTGGGTCTGTTGTTTGCTGCTCACGGAATCTGTGTGTCAAGTGCCTTCAATGCAGCTTCGACGGTTAATGTTGAAGACGGCCGAGTACTGTGAAACTTGCTGCCGGGGTGTTGTTTGTTTGAATCCAGATAGCTTGCTTCGCCTGAACCCCCTGCAGTATTCACCAGCCATGTCACCTGAATATGGAGTTCCACGAGGCTGCATGCAGATGGTTTACTAACAACGTCTGCCGTTTATGCGTGCGTGGGAGCACATGTCATGAATATCTTCCTTCTAGAGCAAACTTCCTGGTTTTCCAGTTGCTCGGATCCTGTGCAGTACCCTGAACGCTGCCACCTCCGTCAAAGAACTTGAGCATAGGTGTCCTTTTTGGTCGTTTTGGTCGAACAACTAGATGGGTTTCCCCTGGTATACCTCATGGCTTAATCATCTACCAGGGAAGCCCATCTATTTCCAACCCAAAAGGACGCCTATGAACTTTCTGAGTGTACGGCCTCCTTTTTCTGGGGCTCGGTTCCGAGTTCCCCGGCCTGATGAAGCAAACTCGGGACATTCAAAGGGCAAATTTGCGGAATCCAGAAATTCCATACTTGTGTGGGCGAGGTGATGCTTTTCTTTGGAGGGGTATTTATTTTAGTGCTGTTTTTTTTCCCCCTCCGATTTTGGCTTCTTGGCTTCTTGGCTTCTTTGGTGCATGTTGCTTGGATCCCCAGTGAATCCTCTACCCAGTGGATCGATCCCTACCCAGTGAATCGATCCCAGGGATACCCTTCCCCATGTTCCTTCTTGGTTTTCTTTGGTGCATGTTGCCAAGGGATGTTAGGACTGAACACCTTTTTGCCCAACCAACCTGGGTTTTCCGTTAAATCACCAAAAGTGAAGCTTTTAGCAGGGGAGCAGATTTCGCCACCGACTTCTGTGGGCGAGGTGATGTTTTTTTTTCCCCCCCACTGGTGGTTCTAGTTCAACTGGGCAAGCCTTGTTTGGCGGGTCGGATTGGTATGGAAATTGGAAGCCACCCAATACCAGGGCTTGAGACTGAATGGAAGACCCTGGGTTTCAGTGCCCGGGTTTGTAGGGGGGCAAAATTTCCTGTGGGTCTGGTATTCTCCCCATAGCGATGGAGGGCGCTGAAATGGGAAACCAAATCGCCGCCAAACCGCCGATCCGAACTGACTGGAGGGAGGCTGAAGATGGGTCTGTCTTTTTTCTGAGGGTGCCCCTTTTTGTTGGTTTTAAAGGGAAAACAACAACAGGAAACCACGGCATTTTGGGGGGTCCATTGAACAACGCACAGCCATATCATAGGGAAACCAACGGGAAAACCCACAGAAAAGACGAGCGCCCCATATGTGCTCAGTGGTTCCAGATGGGTTTTGCCTGAGGTGGTGGACAACCCAGCATTTTGGGGATCCACTAAAGAAAGACGGCTCGCCAATATAAGATGGTTCCTCCTGTGGAAGGTTGCAAAATCCATTTCGCACTGTTCAAAAACCCTCGAATGATCCGATGCCCCAACGTCATTATCAACAACTGCTTTCCCAAGGGGCCCCTTTCTCACCCCTTTTTTTGTGGAGGGTTCCCCTACTAAAATCGAGTACAGAAGCAAGAAACGGTGCCAACTTATTCTGATTCTAACCTCTCTACTGGAGGACCTAGCCTTAAGGGAATCCCCAGAACCGGCTCATGATCAAACCGCAGAGGGCCGTTCCTCTCTACTGGAGGCTCCTCGGTGGAGGTCGAATTCTCGCCTAGGCACTGTGAAGGCCATCGAGGCTGGGGGCAGCAAGCCTCGGCAGCGGCAGCACTTTGTGGAGAGCCTCGGAGCAAATTCCTATCGGAGCAGTTCCATCGAAATGCGGCGGTGACCGTCTTTTTTTTTTTGAGGGTTTTTCTCGTGTCTATGGGTTTGGTGGTGTTGGGTTTCCGAATTTCAACTGCTAAGAGTCGGAGTTTGTCTTTTTGTTTGAGGATACCGTGTAAATTTGGTTCAACTTTGTTTTGTTTGATGTTCTTAGTTGGTTTGGTGGGCGCTCAAGAGAATCTTTTGGAGCTTCCCTCCCTTTGGTGGTTTGGAGCCCGTTTTTTTGGTACGGTGTGGTTTTCCATTTGCCCTCAACAAGAACCCAGGGGTTCAAATGGGTTTGTCTTTGTGTTTTTAGGGTACCATGTTAAATTGGGTTCAACTTTAGTTTTAGATGTTTTTTTTAGTGGTTGCGTTCCCCATTGAACCCGCTACAAGTTGGAGCTTGTCCTTGTTTGGTCCCTACTGGGGTTGGTTGTGAAGGGAAGCAAGTGGGTGGTTTCGACTTTGGCTGGTGGTTCGTCCTTGTTTTGGCGTGCCCCATGGGGTTGGTTGTAAAGGGAAACACATGGAGTACCTCAAAACAAGAAAAACCCAAATGGGTGGCTCGGAATTCGGTTTTTGAGCCTCGGTACCCTTCCTCCCTTGCCATGGCACCGGAATTGGGGACGTGGAATATGGCCATGGGTCCAAACCCCGTACCCCCAGTGAACATCCCAATCCCCACTAAAATAGACTAAAATGGGTGGTGCACCTACCCCAAAATGGTACCATTGGTTTTGACCCACAGCCATATGTGTTTTTGCTTGAAGGGATCGCCTGGGGTGCCAGCTTAGTGATAGGGAGGGCACACTTTGTAGGTGGATGGTTTGCAAAGGAAACCAGAAGGGAACCAACCTTGTTTGGGGGGTTCCCCTGTTTTGACACAAACCCAAATGAATCTATTTTCCATTTTGGGTCCCTCTGGTGGACATCATTTGCATGGGGATTGATTAACAACCCGATCAGAATTCGTAGCCAGATGCGTTTGTCTCGAAATGTGCAAACCCTTTAAAGGAAAGTCAGGAAACCAAAACTCGGATGGGGGTCGTAATTTTGAGAAGCACCCACTAGTAAGACTGGTTGGAAGCTAGGATTCGACAACGTCGGCACAAACATTTGGGAATTATGTTGCCATGCCTGATCTTTTCCGGTCCCTGGATCTTTGTTTGCTCGCAATCTGTTCTGGCAAGGCCAACAACCACATGTTTGACTAGGAATACGGAAAATTGAGGCTTTTGTTTTTGGCTTCACAAGTTTGGCCTAAGTTTGCTCATTGCCCCAAATGTTGTGCGTGTGTTCATGTCCAGCTGTTTGGGCTAGGGGCCACTGTTTGGGCCTTCGTTGGGCCCAAAAGTCAAAACCAAAGACATCCATGAAGTGGGGGAGCTTTATTCCAAGCCATTTGCGTGTAAGATAGTAAGCTTACTAAACCACTGCAGTTCAACTGCTTTGGGTCTAGTGTTGCTGAGGGAAACAACAATTGGCCGGTGTGCTTCTCTTGAAACCAAGCCTTGGGATCAGGGTGTTTCCACATGGCTTTCGCAGAGTCTTGCTTCGAAGGTATGGAGCTGAGGGAATGTAAGTCCTCCAGCGATTGGTGCCCTTTCTCACCGTTTCTTTTTTGGGGCAGGGTTTCCCCTTTTTGGGTTGGGAGGGCTCCGAACCCTACTAAAATCGACTACAGAAAAAAGACACGGTACCCTAACCTAACCTCTCTACTGGAGGGTCTAGGAATATTTCCGTATGCATGTTTGCTTTCGTCTCCCTTACTCAAAGCGAATTGATTCAACCTTTTGGCCGTTTCTTTCCGGAGGCACCAACATAGCCACCTGCCCAAAAGCCAAATGACAATTTTGAAGCATTTTTGTAGCCTGCGGCTGTGCCGACCGGGATTAGAAAGCAAACCATGGGTTCAGCATCCTGGATATGCTGCCGTTCTTTTTGCCACACCACTCAAAGGCATCCCTGAAAAATGGCTTTGCGCCCCCCCGCCAGCCCAGCCGCGTTCCAATTTTGGAGCCACTGCCATTTTTGACCATCAAATGAATCATTATCATTTTCCCTTGTTAATTTTAAGGAAAGAGGTCCCCCAGTAGTGCCCTTTCTCGCCCCTTTTGTGGGGGAGGGTTCTTCTACTAGAATAGACTACAGAAGAAACACAGAAACGGTACCCTAACCTCTACCCTCTCTACTGGTTTGGACCTAGTTGGACATTCCGAAAAGAAGGATCCTTGGAAGAATCCCTGGAAAGAATGGGGAAGGTACACCTAGATTGGTTTTAAGGAGAGCATCTACAACTCTTGGACAGATGTTCTCACTTTTGTCAAACAGTCCCCGCTGGAGGCCACTGATTCGCCCTCGGGCGTTCGGTTTCGTGAGGACGGTGCTGGGCGCCCGGCGCCGGGAGGCCTGCAGTTGGCACAACACGCCGCTGGGCATCTCGGATGCGAACAGCGGGGGAGCCACCGGGTTGCTTGGCGGTTTGGAGAATGTTGACCCCGCATTAGTATGTAACCCCCCCCCCTTTTGCTTGAAGGTGCGAAGGTTTTGGGGGGGCAAGAGTTTGGAAGGTTTTTTTTGCCTCCCCCCCTAAGTAATCTGGAATTGAGTTTCCATTGGATTTAGTATTGCTGGGTCTTCCTTTTGAGATCTGGAATTGAGTTTCCATTGGATTTAGTATTGCTGGGGCTTCCTTTTGAGATCTGGAATTGAGTTTCCATTTGATTTAGTATTGCTGGGGCTTCCTTTTGAGATCTGGAATTGAGTTTCCATTTGATTTAGTATTGCTGGAGCTTCCTTTTGAGATCTGGAATTGAGTTTCCATTGGATTTAGTATTGCTGGGGCTTCCTTTTGAGATCTGGAATTGAGTTTCCATTGGATTTAGTATTGCTGGGGCTTCTTTTTGAGATCTGGAATTGAGTTTCCATTTGATTTAGTATTGCTGGAGCTTCCTTTTGAGATCTGGAATTGAGTTTCCATTTGATTTAGTATTGCTGGGGCTTCCTTTTGAGATCTGGAATTGAGTTTGCATTGGATTTAGTATTGCTGGGGCTTCCGTTTGAGATCTGGAACTGAGCTTCCATTGGATTTAGTATTGCTGGGGCTTCCTTTTGAGATCTGGAATTGAGTTTCCATTTGATTTAGTATAGCTGGAGCTTCCTTTTGAGATCTGGAATTGAGTTTCCATTGGATTTAGTATTGCTGGAGCTTCCTTTTGAGATCTGGAATTGAGTTTCCATTGGATTTAGTATTGCTTTCCTTTTGAGATCTGGAATTGAGATTTTAGTATTGCTGGGGCTTCCTTTTGAGATCTGGAATTGAGTTTCCATTGGATTTAGTATTGCTGGGTCTTCCTTTTGAGATCTGGAATTGAGTTTCCATTTGTTTTAGTATTGCTGGGGCTTCCTTTTGAGATCTGGAATTGAGTTTCCATTTGATTTAGTATTGCTGGATCTTCCTTTTGAGATCTGGAATTGAGTTTCCATTGATTTAGTATTGCTGGGGCTTCCTTTTGAGATCTGGAATTGAGTTTCCATTTGATTTAGTATTGCTGGAGCTTCCTTTTAAGATCTGGAATTGAGTTTCCATTTGATTTAGTATTGCTGGAGCTTCCTTTTAAGATCTGGAATTGAGTTTCCATTTGATTTAGTATTGCTGGGTCTTCCTTTTGAGATCTGGAATTGAGTTTCCATTTGTTTTAGTATTGCTGGGGCTTCCTTTTGAGATCTGTCAGGTTTGCATGTCTCCCCAATGGGATTCCATGAAATTTGATCAGGTTTCCATTGAGAATGAGTGGCTTTTCCAACTAAATGGGAGTTTAGGCTCATCGGGCTGATTTGGCAGACATGGTCCAGCAATGGTATCTGAAACCTAAGCTCAGTATCAGCTCTACCATCTCACAATGAGGGGCTGGAATCAGATGAGGACCTGGCATCAGTCGGGCATGACTCTGCACCAACCCAACAAGGGAAGAGCGACGGGTGGGCAGGCAGCATCCCGCAGAGGGGCGGGGCCAGCCCAACACCCGACTCCCAGTGTGTCGGCAACCTTGCCCCCAGAGAAGCTGGGGGAAACCAGCCCCTCTTTTCCCTGGATGCATATTGGGCCAACATGTGCACAGGATTGGTCCATATCGGGAGGATTGAGAGGCCATTACAAGCTGAGGTCATTAATGTCATTGGCAGGTTTGTGGTACCCAAAACTGATTCATGGTGGGCATTGCCAGTGAATGGCATCACATACCAGTTCTGCTCTCTCATGAATGGTGGATTATCAGATACATGGACCATGATGGGCTGGCTCATTGCTTTTGCAGATGAGGGCAGTGAGGCCACAATGAGACTGTTTTCGTTGAGACAGACAAGGAGAAAGTGAGCAGTGCATGTGGCAGTGATGAGGCTTCTGAGGCTCCCATTGCTTTCCATGAGACTGTGAGTTGTGGATTTTCATGAAATTTCCAGTGGCCGATGAGCTTACAGTTGGGATTGGGTGCAATTGCTGTGATGAGATCCAGAAAAGAGCGGGCCATCCAAATGAGGGATGGGATTACGGGTACTGGCATTGAGGATGATTGGTATGAGATATGTAGTGTGGCCGCACATCAGCATGGGAAGGGGGCATGGGGAAAGGGGGGTGAGTTGCAGCACTGCACTGCGTGGCACCTGAGGCTCCATTGTGTAGGTGGGGATTGGGTGCATTTATATCAGGATGGTGCTGGTTGAGGATTTCAGTGCCCTGGCCACCACGCGTAGCCCATTTGTGAGGCAGTTGAATCAAAAATGCTTTGCTGACAAGGCCGCATCGGCGACGTCTGGCTCTGTGATTTCGGAAAACCTGTTGCGCATGGTCGCGCGTTCACAACAAACACTCAAAAAGCACAACGGCGCAGCGAGGACAGGCTACGGCTGCAGGACGTCATTTCGGGCTGCACGTAACACCTGAGATCTCAAGATCGTCAGCAATGAACGAAAAGCATGCAGTTTTAAAAAAAATCCTCTACCACAGGGCCACGTGTCGCCGGATGGTGAGGGGCTGGCTGAGAACGAGGAGCAGGCGCGTGGAGCCGGGCTGTCTTCGGATAGGACACCTCCAACCCTTCAGCCACGCTTCCCTGTTAAGCCTCGCCGGCACGTGTGCCCCGCTCTCTGAAGGCTACGAGCTTGTCCAACCCTGTCTTTCTTGAGTACCACCACGACCCGTGCCCGCTGTATCCGGCGCTTGGTGTTTTTGTTTGAGAGACCTTCCCTCCTCCCTCGCACGGACTTTCAAATCGGAGGAAAGGGCTTTGTCTGGTGGTGAGGGGCTGCCCGTGCCCCAATTATTCGGGTGCTTTGCAGGCGGCGATGGCCCAGAAGTTTTGGTCCTCGTCCTTGTACTGGTTGGGGACAGCCCGCTTTTCAGGGTTGGCGGGGCCTCTATTGGAGGTTGGAGCTTGATTAGAACCCCTTTTTCGCGCGCAAGTCGTCCACTCCTGTTTGGGCCCCTGCCTGGCAGGTCGAACTGCAAAAGGAAACCAGAGCAAACTTGCATTCTCTTACTTCTCAGGGCACGGGGGGGGGCTTGATGTATCAAACGGGTTTTGTGGGGGGCTAGAAGGGGGTGGCCGCAACTAGATTTTTTTGTTTCCGGCTAGGCATTTTCCAAAAGTTATGGCGTTGCAACCCTTCAGGGGTTTGCAAGGCCAAACTTGTGGCCGCTCTGCGTAGCTTGTGTAGTTTAAGCAAAAAGTGTTTGTTGTTCCGCGGTTTTGGGCCGCAAAGGGCGCGCGCGATCAGAAGTCTTCGGCTTGGCCCGGCGTTCGGCTCAAGACACCCAGTCGCTTCGCAGGCAGAAGTGTCGGAGCCCGCGGATCTTGAAACAGAGACTCACGAAGAGCAGACGGGCGCGGCCCACGTTCGGCGGCGTTGGGCTGACGTGGCCTGTTTGTTTGCCGGTTTTGGCGGCTCCCGCCGGCCTTGGAGTGGCACAGGCCTTCGGAAAAGATGTGTTTTCTCCACAGACTTCACGGCTTGCTTGCGACTTATGGATTTCATGTGCTGGCCCTCCGCCTGTTGCCCGATGTTGAAGAAATGCCTGCAGAAACCCGCAGAATACCCCTATCCCGAAAACTTGTCCTTGCTGTTGTTGGGAGGTTTTTCTTGGACAGAACGACAGCGTGCAAAGTATTTCTACGAACCGCCTAGAAACAAACACGCCATGTGGTTTGACAGCACTTGCAGGAGGAGATGGCGGTGGAGGCCGGGCCGTTCATAGGTCTGTAGAAAAGTTCAAGGTTTTCTTGGGATTTGTTTGGCAGGGGCCTTGCTTCGGCTCGCTCACCCAAGGCTCTAGCATGTTACAACAAGGGTCGCAGCATCGCCGCACATAAGACAGAGCTGCCGCAAGGCAGCGGCCCAACGGCAACCACAGCCGTTTCAGACCCAACGCCACCACACCAAAAGAAATCCGCATCGACGTTTTTATAACCAAAAGCACATGGAGGGTTTGAAAAAGCCCCATGGAATTGCACGCACTTGAAAGCTAGCCCCGCATGTTGTTTTTGCCGGACCGTGTCGAAACCCAAAGCGAGAGCTCTTGGAAGCCGTCAGAGCGCTGCCCTCCTCTGGCGAGCCATGGCTCGACCCCACGTCTTCCAGAAGGGCTGCCGAGGAGGCGCTACTCGTGCTGCGGAGTATGCTTTTGCAGGCGGTCTGGCTGCGGTTTTGAGGGACTTTGCCACTCGATCCCTACAAAGTGAGCCGCTGTACGCGGACAGCCTTTGGAAAACTATGCGGGGGGTTGGTCGGGGAAGGCTTCCGGTTGCCTTCCCCCGCGACTGCCAGGACTGGTCAGCCGCTGTCTCTCCGATCCGTGCGCTGCGCCGGGCCTGTGAGCGAGCGCCGGGAGCTTGAGAGCTTTGTAGAGAGCCAGACAGGCGGGGAGCTTTGTGGGAGCAGGCTGGGCGTTCGCATTGCCCCCGCTGTTTTCTTTTCGCGGCGACAAGTCGTTTCGATCAAGCCCCATGATTTTCCAAAGACTTTGTCTGTGAAAATCCGTCCTTGAAGAAAGATACGCTCTTCATCGGCATGTTTCCAACAGCCGCCAAAGGCATGATGACCGAATAGAGGTGTGAAATTCATTCGTGCCGGGAGGAGAGGGAAGGGAATTGCCCCAATTGTTTTCCGACTTGGCCTGATTTCCATCGTGTCCCACCCGGACTTTCGTGGGAACGCCGTTGGATTTGCATGGGACTTTGGCTGGAGTGCCCTTTTCCGCGCTTTCCCAGCACTGCCGTCGAGAGGCGGGGCGTGGCCCTGTCTGGAAGATATCCACCACAACCACGCCTGCGAAATTTCGTCGGGTTTTTCCCAATTTTTTTGGCCACTCCAAACCAGTTTCAGCACACTTCCACCCCTGGATGTTGTTGGATTTTCGCAGAAACGTCGTTGCAGTTTCTTGGAATTTTAGCTGGAAGTGCCCTTTTCCACTGCTTCCCAACGAAAAGCCACGCACATTCCAACTTACCCCCCTCGCCCCAGCCCCAGAAACACCCAACAAGGCTCCAATTGTGGGGCAGGGCAGTCTCCAGGCAACAGCAAACTCCATTTTGCTATCTAACAAAACAGAGCCGCGGCCGGAGAGGGGAAGCAGCAATGTACGTACAGCACGTTCGAGGTAGAAGTTCTCATGATTTGGTAAGTCTGAGGCACACACCTATCAAAAGCTCATGCCAGCAGCGCATGTCAGCTGTATTGAGTATGTTAACTCATGGATTCAAGTATGACCAGAATTGGGCCTTGGAAGATGAGCGTGCCATTGCCTGATGGCCAGCGCTGGCAAGATGCATCCCACAACCAGGAGGGAGGCAAACACTGATAAGATCAGAGTGACATTTGAAGCTCATCAGTATGTGACTGGATGGTTGCAGAACTTCAAGGACATGTTGCCAAAGGAATTTTGGTAGTGGGAGGGCAACTTGCCAACATTGGGCCTGATGACAGATGGCTGCATGATGAGACAATTGAGTATGCTGGCAGAATCATCAAGCACATTGCTGGTGAGAAGTGTGGGAGAGCATTGGAAGGATGGAGAAAGATGCAAGCATCCCATTCATATCTTTTTCGCTATTTCACAGTTATGTCACAACCATGGTGCAGCATGGACAGCATCTGCATGGCATGAACATTCAAGACAGTGCGCATAAGATGCCAGCGCCACTCTAGCATATGGGGCAGTATTCTGTGATAGCACCAGCAAGATGAGATTTCTATCTCATCAAGCACAATCAACAATCATGGCAAAGATGACCAGTGGCATGCAGCTAACAGATACAGATTTCAGCTAGCAGTTCAAGGCAGCAGTGAAATTACACATTGATAGGAAGGTGGGCATGCAGAGAAATCCAACAGAATTGCACAAGATCAGCAACCTGGACATGTCTTTTGCTGTAGATGCTGCTATGCAGCATATGGTGGGGGGCAATGAGGAGAAAGCATGTGTTTTAACTGGACTGAGGCGCGCAATGGATTGCTTGCATAACTGCGCTGCGTGCCATTCTATCTGATGATGCTCAACACATGAACCCAGAGGGCATCAGTTCATATGTGCTGAAGAAGATGAAGGGCAAGGCGCAGCAGGGTTGCATTTGTTGACCATTGTTTGTTTGATTTTTTTCACAACCCTGAGGCCAAATGCTTTCACATGCCATTTGCTGCTGGTCACCATAGTGTGCTCCTGGTAGAAGCAGATCAGACATTATGAGACACTGACAACTATGAGTGGGCCATGCTTGCACATGGCTGTTGAACAACGAAATCCTAGATGAGGACTTCTTGATCAGGCCCCCATTGGAGAGAACCAATACCTGCATCAGGCAGCCTGTTGGCTCCAATCTGCGTGGATGGTATATTATGACAGACTTGCAAATGGAGGTTGCCATGTTGACTGCACATGGCCTGCTGCCATTGGGTGGCCTGAAGAGGCCATGCAAGCTTGGCGTGCCAGGATGCAGAAATTCATGCCCCAGATGCAGAAGGAGATAGACATGGCATTGTTCTATTGGAGAAGTATGCCCAGAAGGTCATGCAGGAAAGAAAGAAGACTTATGATCTGGCATGCAACAAAATGAAGAAGGGTGAGGCATTGACTTCATTGCAGATTGAGGCCATGGCCATTGTGAATGAGAATTCCAAGCTGCAGATTTCAGATTTGCCTGCAGAGTACCATGGCCATTGCGAAACTCAAACAATATGAGGTGGGAGTGTGCAGTAGACGCAGGTTCCAATCAGGCTGCTTGTCATGCAGCATTGAGAAGTGCACAGGCTCTTGGATGAGGAGGGAAGGCAAGAGATTTGGAAGAAGCGTATGTGCAGAGTACATGCTATGAGCTGCAAACATGTGAGTTTTCAATATGGATGACACTTTCAGCAATCTCTAACAAATGAGCTCAAGAAGCAGTAACGAGATAGCAGCCATCTATCTGGGGAGGGACCGGTTTAACTTGTTTTTGTTGATTCATTTTTTATTTGGGGGGGTGTATTTTCTGAGTTATGAATTGTTTAGTTTTGGGGGGGGCACCCGAACCGGACTAATAGGGGGGGATTATTAATACGGGGTCAACTTGGTTGGTTGGTTGGTTGGTTGGTTGGTTGGTTGGTTGGTGGTTTGGTTGGTTGGTGGTCCCTTCCTAGCCCCTCTCCACTCCATGTGGAGTATTTACCCACATTTACCCTCCAAAATAGGTGCCCTTTCTCACCAACTTTATGGGTTGGGAGGGTCCCCTACTAAATAAAATCGACTACAGACAAAAAATGGTACCCTTATTCTAACCTTTCTACTAGAGGACCTAGCATTTGGATTTGGATTTAAACGCCCGAAAATGTGCATTCCATGTTAGTGGACAGGAGGGTACCCTCGAAAAATTTACCAAAACCCTCTGGCTTCTGGGGTACACCCGAAAGTGTCTGGTTCCCATTTCCCCTTTACAACCAATCCCAGTGAAACCAAAACAAGACAAGCCCATTGGAGATTAGTGGTTTGGAGCCTGGTGGGAACTGGGGATTTCAACCCAGGTTTGTAGTGAACTAGATTGCGTAATTCGTGCAGTTGAAATCAAAGAAGCCGAACTTAGACTCAACATGTTGCACCCCTGGCTTGAAGAGGGTGCTGTAAATGGGGGTTTCCCCCCCGGAACACCGGAACAAAGCGCCAATCCAACCAAGAGGAAAGCTCAATGGGGAGTCGCGATTTTCATCCCAACGACTTGGGAACTCCAGCAGAAAAAGGATGAAGAGACGTGTCCCTCCGGGTTTTTGGCACTGCGACCCCTTGGAAGCTGATGAAGAAGTTGAAGGGCAAAGGTGCCAGATGTTAACTCACTCCATAGGAACCAAGAAAGCCCATGAACTTAGTTAGTCTGTTGTCTACACTCATGTGGTGTGAATGTTGCTTATGATTGCCTCACTCCCTGAGTTCCTGGACTTCAAACTTTTGCGAAGACCATTTTGGTGGTAAACTAGGTCCCCTAGTAGTGCCCTTTTACCCTTTTTTGGGGGAGGGTTCCCCTACTAAAATAGACTCCAGAAAGAAAAATTGGTACCCTTATTCTAACCTCTCTACTGGAGGACCTAGTAGATAACTTAAATTCACCCGTTTTTGGGCCAGCCGACTCAGGATGCTCTTTGCATCCTTTGAGTCCTGATTCATTTGAGACAATGTGAGTAAACCCTTCAGTTCTGGAGGCGATGGATTCAAAGGCCCGAGATAAGTTCTAATATATTTTATTTGGTGCATTTTGCTTGGCTGTTAGGACTTTAACTTTTTGCCAGCTAATGGGTTTCCACTAAACCACTAAAAGTTAAACTTTTAGCAGGGGAGCAGAAAGCAACCGAGTTTTGCAAAAATATATGGGATGTTCCATTTGCTTCCATTTGCTTAACAAGTTTTCCCTCTTGTTTTTTTGAGGGAATCCTTCACTACTGGAAATATTTATCAAACTTGAGCAAATGGAAGCCTGGGGTTGGTCTGATGTTCAACAGTCAGAGATCACTTTTTCAACTGCCTTTGGTGTGGTGCTTTCCCAGTTTTGGTTCAAGCTTATTCTTGGCCTCGAAAGATGCGCTTTTGTTAGGGCTGTTTGGACAAGTTGTGCAGTGTTTGATCTGGTTTCTTCGTGTGTGAACCTTGAAAGACGCAATCCACCAGACCCTCGCATCCTTTGAGTTGAGTTGAAGTCCCCGGTGAGTTTGTGCGTTGTTGTCGCCGGTGTTGCCATTTGTGATTTGCAGTTTCTGCAGCTGGAATTGCCCTTCATGGGGTTGGTTGAATTGGAGGAGGGACGATTGTCGAATCTACGAGTTCCGCGATTGAATTGTGAAACTGAAGTAACATAAAATAAAAGCGAATAAACACCAGTCAGCAAAGTGTGCGTTTTATTGAGCCCTGGACTAGTCAATGTAGGCCTCAACTAAACATCTGGGTGAATTATAACGACCTCACACAACCTCACCCCAAATGGTGGTTTATGTGCGGAATAGCCCTCCGAACCACCTTATTTCAGGCTGGTTAATTCACGCAGAAACCTGCGAGTGAACTCAAGGGCCAAAGGGGTTGGCCTGCTGCATGGCCTCAGAGGGGTCGGCGCAGGTGAAGTTGTCCGCGGCAATAGCGCCCAGCTGGAGGAGCGAGCGGTCTTGGCGACCAACCTGTGCCTCGGCTTCACTAGGTCCCCCAGCTAGGTGCCCTTTCTCACCCCGTTTCTGGTTGGGAGGGTCCGAACCCTACTGAAATAGACAAAAAAGAAAAAGTGGGTACCCTTATTCTAACCTCTCTACTGGAGGACCTAGTAGAGGCAGCTGAGAGGGGCCGGTTGGACATGGGGGGTGGATCAATATTCCAACTATAAACCCTACAAACCTAAACCTAAGGGGACGGCTGCATACCCCCAAGTATCATGTTGGTGTGTGGTGGATCAAGATTAAACAGGAGGGGTTTCGCAGGTTTCACTTGCCAGGGGCTTGCCGCCATTTTGGTACCCGGTTTCTTGACCCGCCATGCGGTGCATCAATATTCCCTTCGGCCCCTAGTTCCCCAGTTTTGAGCATGGGTCACTTTTAGGGGTTGCATCTTTTTGGTAGTTTTCCAACCAATGGTCATACATGTTCATGAGACAACTTGTGATCAACCCCATGTGCCTCTTGGCCATGGTTCGACTCATATGCACAAACAAGGGGAGCCAGGGAACAAATATTCATGGTGGCTGAACTCGCTGGAGTCAGGCCGGGATTTCGAAGCCCTGAACCTGCCGCATTGAGGTTTATGCCTCCGCGACATGCGCACATCACATGCTATGCTTGCTTCTCCCACAAAAACATCTAGGTTTTCCAGTAGTGCCCTTTGACCAACTTTTTTGGTTGGGAGGGTTCCGAACCCTTCTAAAATAGACTACAGAAAAAGAATCGGGTACCCTTATTCTAAGCTCTCTACTGGTTTGAACCTAGACAAGCTAAGCGCAGGAATGTCGTCTGGGGGGTAAAAAGGGGTCCAAGTGCCTCCTTAGAAGGTACTTGGACCCTCTGGGAAAAACATTGTCTGGTGACAACTTGGGGTGAATCGTGAACCTTGCATTTGCCAGCTGGAAAGATGACGGCACCGGACGCTCACCCGTACATAAACATAGGTTTGCTAGCGTGTGCTCATTGGGTGGGCCGTTTTTAGGGGACCCCCAAAATGCTGGTGTTCCTTTTGGTGTCCCTTTAAACCCCCCAGAAAAGGTACCCAGAAAAAGACACACCGCATTGTTCTTTGCAACTTCGAGCGCTCACCGGCGATTCATCTGCTCGAGTCATACTGACTTGATCATTGAATTGCAGCTCAGGCTGCTGATCGCGAAGACCTTTCTTTGACTGTTCGGGTGTCAAAAGATATGGCAGTGGCTCAAAAATGGGTATCCATTTTGGAACCCTCTGGTAAATGGAACCAAGGACTCAGACCTGCGGTCCGCCTGGTGCTTTAATTTTGACCCAGCCCATACCCATATGTGCCAGGGTTGTGGGATCAAGGTTTATCCAACCGCTTCTGTGATGCACGGGAATCTCTTTCTTACCTGGGGTTAATCTTAGGGGTTAGGCCCTTTCTGTTGCATCACAGTGCTCATTTCCCGCAGCCCTATGTGCTGCTATGTGCTGCTAGCTGTCATGCAGGAAGCCAGAGGTCCTTCGCCAAGTAGTTGTATGCCAGTGAAACCAGCAGTGGCTGTTCTTGATCAGGGCTCCTTAAAAGATACATTTTGCCCATTTGAAACATGGCTTTTTCCACCAAAATAGAGGGAAACCACCATTTCCAGGGCAATGTTCAGGTGTATAATGTAAGGATCCCTGTTGATGGCAAGTCAGTCTTGCGGGGGGAAACACTCTTAGCAGAATTATCTCTTATACTGCGCCCGCAAGTTGTAGCGACATGACAAAGGGAGGATGCGAGCTCATCCACGAGGAAGCCGTGTAGGGGCGGATATTGTGCGTTGCTAGTTATAGTCAAGCAAGTACCAGACATTTACGGTGTCATCATACTGAGGGACTCTGTCCGATTTCGCATTCAACACACACACACACGTGTGTATATAGATTGCAATCGTCAATCTCACGTGTAAACGGTCTAGATTGTTGTAGAAGATGGTGGTCGGAATATCCTCATTCCGCTCGTTCCCACGAACATTGCAGAAATCGCCAGAAACATCTAGCGGACGCGCACTGGGTGGCTTCCTGTGTTCATGTACTTCTGGCCGGTTGCCGGTATGTTTGACGGCACCACATATTATATATATAGATGCGTGTTGCTATTTGTTGAGGGTACCTGTTTTGGGATGCTTTTGAGGAAGTAAACAAAGGGAAACAAATTTGTCACATGCTCTTAAAAGCCAATCAATTAGGTGTTGTTGGACACATCCTCATAAATGGCCTAGGTGAGCCACGATCAAAACCCGGGTAGATGAAGGTTAGTACGGGATACTCCCAGCCATAAATAGCTGCGGATATCACGCCTTACTTCTTGAAGCATGGTTCTGGGATTACGACCATGTTGATACAGGGTTTTCGTTTTTTACACATACTCTTAAAAAACAATCATCTCTAGGTGTTGTTTTGACACAAACCCTCATAAATGGCCCCATGTTGATACCGGGTTTTGATTACGGCTCAGTGACACATACTCTTAAACACCAACCATGTTGGTGTTGTTTTGACACATCCTCATAAATGGATCCATGTTGATACCGGGCTTTGGTTATGACTCAGTGACACATACTCTTAAAAACCAATCATCTAGGTGTTGTTTTGGCACAACCCCTCATACATGGCCCCATGTTGATACCGGGTTTTGATTACGGCTCAGTGACACACACTCCAAAAAACAATCATCTAGGTGTTGTTTTGACACAAACCCTCATACATGGCCCCACGTTCATACCGGGTTTTGATTATGGCTCAGATAAATGGAACCAATCATTTAGGTGTCGTTGTTGACACATTCTCATAAATGGAGCCAATCATTTAGGTGTCGTTTTTGACACATCCTATGGCCTAGGTACGGTTTGATGCATGAGCACTTCAAGAGCAGCGGGGACTTCTTCAAGGTGCTGGACGTGAATGGCGACGGGGTCATCCAGCACGAGGAGTTCCAGCGATCCATGAAGAAGATCTTCAAAGGCGGGGTGCGGCCCTTCCAGCAGCCAAGTGTGTTGGGTTCTGGACATTTGTTTTTGTGGGGGGGGATTGTAGAAGGCCAGGCAATAGGTTCCGGAAGGATTTGGTTTTGAGGGTTCTGGTTTCTGGCCAGGCGGGGTTTGGGAAGGTTCTGGGGGTTTAGGGTTTGGGGTAGGTTCCTTGGCCATCCATGAAGATCAGCCAAGAGGTCCTGGAAGGCTTTTTTTGAGGGTTCTGGTTTCTGGCCACGGCGGGCGGGTTTGGCCCTTCCATCAGCTAATACTCAGTTGCCCAAAGCAGACCTTTTAACCTTTTGGTTTTCTCGTTCTGGTCCATTTTTAGTCATGGTCCCAAAAGGTTAACCTTTTATTTTCAGGTCCTTTGGGCAACTGAGAATAGGTTCTGGACGGATTTTTAAGGGTTCTGGTTTCTGGCCACTTTTTTGCGCTCGAGTGACCCTTTTTGGGCTTTGGCGGGACCGGTTCGGGCTTCATGTTAGGATGGGAACACGTGTTCGTGCTTGACCAGCGATGGTCATTGAGGACTAGGCCATGGACACTAAAGTGATTGGTGCTGGCCAGGAAGCTGTGCGGAGTCGAGACTTCCATTGCGCGCTGAAAGGGATGGACTTCCAGTTGCTGACAGGTATGAATTGTCATGTTCCACTTTTTGTTTCTTCTTTTCTTTTCTTTTTTTTTTCTGGGGAGCCTATCACTATTGGACATGTTTAACATCATTCTTTCTGGGCTTAAGGAAGTGAAGGAGGAGCAATTACCATTGTGACTTTTGCGGGCGGAGGTGGTTGCTCTCCCGATAGCAAGGCATGCGGATGACTCTGCTTGTATTTCCACTGGTGGAAACACAACCACTTCTCATGTTTTCGCCTGCTGCTGCGCCAACGAGACTTGAATGCTCGTTTCCCCCCTGCTGTTATATAGCAAACATAGCATCAGGTGTGCTGATATCTGACCAGGCAGCTTCGCCTTAGCCGTTGCGGGAATTCGGTTCAACAGCCCACTCGAATGTTTGTTAAACACAACAAACGCTTTGCTCAAGCTTGTGGCGTGTGGCTGTTCTACTACGGGATTGCTGAATGGACTTTCAACATGCAGGCGATTGAAGGACTAAGTCAAGGGGGATTGATATTTGTGAAACTCCTTGTTGCAGTAGTTAGGGGTGATCATTTTCTTTTCTTTTCTGAACCGATCCCATTGATACGCCGGTTCTTGAAAGAGTCAGCCCGTCCGGTTCGAACTTAGTTTTTTTTTGGGCGGCTCAGCATGCAGTCAGTCCGATCGATCGATCGACGGCAGGCGCCTTCTCCTCGGAGGAGTGCCGAAAGCTCTTCACCGCAGCGGACAGCCGCGGCCAGGGCAATGTCACCAGCGAGGCAACGGAACGTCAACAAGCGGTGTGTGAGGGGGGGAAGAGGGGAAGACTGGACTTGATTGGGTTGGATTTTTAGACTTTAACTCTTTGGGAAATCAACAGGTTTTCCAATGAACCCACAAAGAGTGATCAACTTTTTGCAGAGGGGTCGTTGCAGCACCCAAGAAGGGAACCCGGGAGGGGGCCTGGAAGAGAGGAAAGAGAGTTCCAGCTACGTAGCCAAAAAGCTAAAAAGGTTTCAGCCATGGAGGCAGCTAACCACTGAGTAGGAGAACCCTAGAGTCAAGAAATATCGGCTGATCGTCAATTCAATCCCTTTCTCAGTTGTCCAAAGCCAACCTTTTGACCTTTTGGTTTTCCAGTTTTGGTCCGATTTTAGCAGAGGTGCCAAAAGGTTAACCTTTTAGTTCTGGGTCCTTTGGGCAACTGAGCTTTACATGATGTGCCCGGGTTCTCGGCAGCAACGTGTTGCACTTATTTTTCCCATGGAAGACAGCGGGCACTGGGAAGGGCTAGGTCCAGACCAAAACCTTTCTCCAATTTGGAGACACCGCGCTTGGGCATTGGATTGGCTGAAGCACCGAAAGCGATCACCGACCCATCATGGGTGGTTTCCTTACCGGCTTGGCCAGCACACCATTCTAGGTGAATTATAACGACCTCACACGACCTCACCCCAAATGCTGGTTTATGTGGGGAATGGCCCCCCAACCACCTTATTTCAGGTTGGTGAAATATTATAATTCACCCAGACCATTGGTTTTGGTGTCATTGCACCTCAGCTTTTGTGTAGCTAACGCTGGATTGCGCCCTCCAGTGGATCTTCGGCTTGTGACTCTCAAAGCTGATCGGGCTGTGCCTCCTGTCGCTCGGGATTCACCTACTCTCATTTCAACAACATAGGGTAGCCTTAATTAGGAGCCAAAACGGTTTTGCGAATGCGCGCTCTGTGTGCTTTGTTGCGACAAGTCGTTCCTTTCACACTACTTGAACTAACATGGAACCCAAAAAGGATCTCTCAGCCAGCAAGATGTTTTATCTTAAAGGGAGTCGTCGCGTTTTACCTCAATCTGCAGGCGAGAATGTGCCAACAAGATCAGGCACACTTTGATATCCAGTGGGGTATGTGCCGACACCTAAGGAGACTCCATCAGAGATGGGTTTGGCTCAGAATTGAACAAGAGGGGTTACACAGGTTTTGGTCCATGTTTCCACAGGGTTCCATCTTGGTACCGGTTTTTTGAGCCACAGCCAGATATCCGCCAAGTGTGCCTAACCTTGACAAGCTGCCTCATGGGGGTGCCCTTTCGGGTGCCCTGCCCAACGCTCAAACTCTTGGTAGGTCCTCAGTCGCATATTGGGAGTAAACTAGGCCCCAGCGATTGGTGCATCCTTTCTCACCCCTTTTTTGGTTGGGAGGGTTCCGAAACCTACTAAGATAGGCTACAGAAAGAAGAAAGTTGGTACCCTTACTCTAACCTCTCTGGAGGACCTAGAAAAGATCACAGGGAAGTCGCTTCACTGCGGAGGACATCTATCAACTCCTTCGTCTTGGGGCCATTGCCACAGGCAAGGAGTTGCCAGAGGCTGGGCGCGGGGTTGTAGCCATTGCAGCGGCAGCCCAGCTAGATGGTGTCCCCTTGAGTTGCTTTTAAAGGGGAAACCTAGCCAAAGGGTGACTTCATACTTGCCCGGGGCTTTCCCTTTTGGTTGTTTTCCCGCTTTAGACTTTTGATCAGACACCTAGCCAAGGTGACTTCATACTTGCCTATGACTAGGTCCCCCAGTAGTGCCCTTTTAGCCCTTCTTACTACTGGGTCCCCTTTTCGGGGAGGGCGCCCCGACTAAAACCCGGCCACAGAAACAGAAAACGGGGGCCGCCCAGCCTCTCTACTGGAGGCGCCGGGTGCTTACCCCTCCGCTTCGGAGGACTGGAAGACGCCGGGGGTTGGGGACATCGAGATGTATTTCATGGGCATCGCCTTGGGTTCAAAGGCTCAAATTTGCTTCAAAGTCCCTTGGTTTAAGGGTTCTTCATGTTCATCACCCCTTGGTTTAAGGGTTCTTCATGTTAAGGCTCAGTTGCTCCAAAGTCCCTTGGTTGAAAGATGTTCTTCATGTTCATCACCCCCCCTTGGTTTAAGGGTTCTTCATGTTCATCACCCCTTGGTTTAAGGGTTCTTCATGTTAAGGCTCAGTTGCTCCAAAGTCCCTTGGTTGAAAGATGTTCTTCATGTTCATCACCCCTTGGTTTAAGGGTTCTTCATGTTAAGGCTCAGTTGCTCCAAAGTCCCTTGGTTGAAAGATGTTCTTCATGTTCATCACCCCTTGGTTTAAGGGTTC